CAGTTATTCCATACACAGATACTGCGTATGTGTGTCTGCTTATCATTCAGTTGATAAGAATCATTCCAATCCATGAAATTGGAATGATTCTTACCAACTAAATGATAATTTATTGCTTGATTTGTGCCTGACATTATACTAAATTCTTTACATGAAGGATCATATTTAATTCAAGGATTCTCCTACCTCAGCCTCCTGAGTAGCTGGGATTACAGGTGTGCACCACCATGCCTGGCTAATTTTTTTTTTTTTTTTTTTTTTTTNTGCTCTTGTTGCCAGGCTAGAGTGCAATGGCATGATCTTGGCTCACCGCAACCTCCACAACCTGGGTTCAAGCAATTCTCCTGCCTCAGCCTCCCAAGTAGCTGGGATTACAGGAATTCACCACCACATCCAGCTAATTTTGTGTATTTAGCAGAGACGGGGTTTCTCTATGTTGGTCAGGCTGGTCTCAAACTGCCAACCTGAGGTGATCCGCCTGCCTTGGACTCACAAAGTGCTGGCATTACAGGTGTGAGCCATCGCACCCAGGCTCATAAGTCAATTTTTTTTTTTCTAATATGGAATTTCGCTCTTATTGCCCAGGCTAGAGTGCAATAGCATGATCTCGGCTCACCGAAATCTCCGTCTTCCGGGCTCAAGCAATTCTGCCTCAGCCTCCTGAGTAGCTGGGATTATAGGCATACACCACAACACCAGACTATTTTTATATTTTTAGTAGAGACGGGGTTTCTCCACGTTGGTTAAGGGCTGGTCTCAAACTGCCAACCTCAGGTGATCTTCCCACCTCGGCTTCCCGAAGTGCTGGGATTATGGTCTATTTTTTAAAAGGAATTTTGAATAGGAAATTAATCGATTGATTGAACAGTTTAGAATATGGGTGGCTAAATATTACCAGAGTTGCAAAAAAATCAGTTTTTCCTTGCAGTGTGGGAACTTTTTCATGTTCAAAAGATATTGCCAACAAATTAATTGTCCAACAAATGTCTTTGTCTAACTTGTTACTACGGGAAAATTTTCAAATATCAACAAACTAGAGAGGATAGTATAGTAAACTTCTATGTACTCATTACCCAGCTTCAGTAATTAGCAGTTAATAGCCAATTGTGTTTAATCTACCTGCTACTTACTCTCCGAACTTCTACATTATTTTGAAGTAAAGCTAAAACATCCTATGATTTCATATCCATAAATGTTTCAGTATGCATTTCTAAAACATAGGAACTTTTTACAAAAACCTAATGTATTATGCTTAAAATTACACAGAATAATTTCTAATATGATCGCTAATGTTAAAATTGTCCCTATTCTGTTTCTGTCTGTGATTTCGTCATTTGATTCAGACTCCAAGTAAAGTCTGTACATGGCATTTTGTTGATAAACCTTGTAAATCTTTAATCCACAGATTGCCCCTCTTCTTTTTCCCTTTCCTCAGAATTTATTTGTTGAAGAAACCAGGTTCTTTATCCAGTAGAACTTCCTACAGCCTGCATTTGGCTGACTGCATTCCTGTGGTACATTTGACACGCGTCCCTATGCTGCATAGTTCCTGTAAACTGGTAGAGCTAATGGCCTTATGAGACCTGAGCCTGATTTTTTGACAAGAGTACTTTATAGGTTATGTTGTCCATTTCCAACAGAAGGTGTAAGATGTCTGATATACTCTCTCCTTCTCTCTCTTCATAATACTAAGATTGATTAGGTATCATCAGCCCGATCCATCCATTACAAAGTTTCTCATTAGCTTTTCAGCATTGATGACTCTTGCTTAGATCCTAGCCCATTATGGGTTTCAAAACAGTCTCCTGCCATCTTTTCTGCAGTTTAGAGGACAGCGCTGGCTTCACAGAGAAAGATGCATTGGAAACAGCTTATACAGAAGGCAGGGAAAACGGGAGGAAAGCAGGTCACAGGTATACAGCAATAACTGCTGGAGCAAAGGTTTTGTGCATTCAAAAATTTGAGGGGTATTGCAAAATTGTGCTCTAAAGAGATTAAACCAACTTAACACTTTTCAATAAATGCCTGCTTCTACATATCCTTTGCCAATTTGATAGGTGAAAAACTACACCTCATTCTGGTTTACAATTGTTAATTTCAAGTAAAGTGGACCATATTTTCAAATATATATTGGTAATCTGTATTTTTCTTTTGTGAAAGTATGTTGCTATCTTTTCCCCATGTTTTCTATCAATTTGTTTACACCTTTTATTTTTTAAAGAATTCTTTGTATATTAAAGTGATGAGTTCCTTATCTGTCATATCATATGTGTTACAGATATTTTTCCCAGATTATTGTCTTTTGACTCTGATCACAATACTGTTTGCTTTGTAGAAGGTTTTTATTGTTACAATGCACTTATCAAATATTTCCTTCATAGCTTCTGGGTTTTTTAACATTCTTTGAAAAGTCTAACCCATGACCATTAAAAATCATTCACAATTTCTCCTAGCATTTCTATGGTTTCAGCTCTTTTCTTTTTTCTTTTTTTCCTCCTTCTCCCCTTTTGCATACAAATGTTTGGCTCACTTCGACATGGATTGAACTTCTATTTCTTTATTTTGAAACAGGGTCTCACTCTCTCATTCTGGGTGGAGTGCAGTGGCATGATCATAGCTCACTGTCTAAGTTCAGACTCCTGGGTTCAAATATTCCTTCTGCCTCAGCCTCCCAAGTACGTGGAACGACAGACACATGCACCACGGCTGGCTAATTTTTAAAATTTTTTCATAGAGATGGGATTTTGCTATGTTGCCCAGGCTTGCCTTGAACTCCTGGCCTCAAGCAATCCTCCTGCATTGGCCTCACAAAGTGCTAGAATTACAGGCATGAGCCACCAGGCCTAGATTGAACTTTTATTTCTTGCCAGATGTTGTCTCAATACTGTTAATACAACGACTTATATTTTCTCTAATCATTTAAAGTAGTACTTCTATTGTGTACTGCATGCTGAATATATTTGTGTCTATTTCTGAATCACCTGTTTTGTTCCACTTATCTATTCTTTTAGTACACTGACTGAGATCCATGGTGTATTCAATGCTGGCATTTTGCATTGTACACATTAGATGTATCCTTGAAAGGCTGCATGTGAAGCAAAAACAATTGGGTCCGTAATCTCACTGGCATCCTTTAGTTATTGTTATGTAACACACCATCCAAAAATGCGGTGGCTAACAGCCAGTTACTCCCACACATTCATAGGGTGTGCTAGGCTGGGTTCTGCAGGGGCGATCGTCCTTGGCATGGCATCCATTCCCTTCCTAGGGCAGCAGGATCATCTGCCTCATGGTGATGCACAAACACAGGAAGGAGTGTGCAAAGACTAAGGTCCCAGAGGACCCAGGCTTTCCCCATCCCTGCCATTTCTTCCTCATCTTAGTGGTCAAAGCCACACAGCTAAACCCAAAATCAAGGGTGAGGAAAGTTCCCTTTGTCCCAAGAGACATGGAAAAGCCATGGACGCAGAGAAGGTGAAGAACTGGGACCACAATCCCAATCTCCCACAGCTACTGACACAATTTAAATGGGGAAGCTTCCATAGAAAATTCCAGGTCCTTGTCTAACATTAAGCTAAAAAGGAGCTGCTAACATATATTTGAAACACAGTGAAAATTTAAGTACCTGGAAAAGTACAGGGTAACATAACATCCATGTGTCCATCTCTAATAATTAACAAATTAATATTTTTGCTTATTTGCTCCTGATCTTTTTTTTTTAGAAATAAAATGTTTTAGAGCTTATGTACTCTGTATACCCTTCCATGGTTTTCTCTCACTATCCAGAAGTAATTACTATCTTAAAGGTAGTCTGTGCACATTTTTATTAAATATGCAGGATTTATGAAGATTAATACACTTCTTTGTTTTCATATTTTAAATATTATAAATGGTATGATACTTTATATATAATTCTAAAAGTAGCTTTTTATTTCAACAGTATATCCAGAGATCTAGCTGTGTTTATACATATAGATTGTCTTCTTTTACATTGTTATATTTTACTCCATTGTATGACTGTATTAGTCTGTTCTTGCATTGCTATTGATAAATACCTGGCCGGGCGTGGTGGCTCATGCCTGTAATCCCAGCACTTTGGGAGGCCGAGTCAGGTGGATCACAAGTTCAGGAGTTCAAGACCAGCCTGACCAATATGGTGAAACCCTATCTCTACTGAAAAAAAAAAAATACAAAAATTAGCCGGGCATGCTGGTGGGCACCTGTAGTCCCAGCTACTTGGGAGGCTGAGGCAGGAGAATTGCTTGAACCCAGGAGGCAGAGGTTGCAGTGAGCCAAGATCACACCACTGCATTCCAGCCTGGGCAACAGAGCAAGACTCCATCTCAAAAAAACAAAACAAAACAAAACAAAAAAACCAAAATGAAAAGAAAAGAAAGAAAAAGGAAATACCTGAGACTGGGAAATGTATAAAGAAAAGAGGTTTAACTGGCTCACGGGTCTCCAGGCTGTACAGAAATCATGGCAGCTTCTTGGGAGGTCTCAGGAAACTGACAATCATGGCAGAAGGTGAAGGGGAAGCAGGCAGGTCTTGCATGGCTGAAGCAGGAGGAAGTGAGAACAGGGGAGATGCTACACACTTTTGAACAACCAGGTCTCACCACAACTCACTCACTATAACGACAACAGCACTAAGGGGATGATGCTAACCCATTCATGAGAACTCTGGCCCCATAATCTAATCACCTCTCACCAGGCCCCACCTCCAACACTGGGGATTACAACTGAACGTGAGATTTGGGTGGGGACACAGATCCAAACCATATCAACGACTGTATCATAATGCATCTTCTTTCCTTTACTGATGGATGCTTTGAATGGTGTTAACTTACCATTATCATTAACAAGAAAACATTTACAAATCACATATTTAAGGTAAATACATGCAATTTTATCAAAATATTAAAGTTATTTGCAAATATTACACAGATGAAATATAACTAAACTGATAATTCAAAAACACCTAAGGGATATATTAAGGAATATGTTATGAAGGGCCACACATTATTAATAATCAGTTTTCTTCCAAAATATGTCCTATCAAGGAAACAAAAGATAGATCTACCAGCAGACAGTACTAAACTAATTCTGTCATTCACATGAACATTCTCCTACAAGCCACAGCCCAGAAGACTGTTAATATGCACCCAGCCTTATCATTTTCTGTTAATATTTAGTCAGTGTTTCCAATATAATTGGCTGCTTCTTCAGATCAAAGGCTTTTACATAGGTCCTACATGCAAATCAAATAGCTATCCATGGAACATCAGAACTTGACTTGCTCCATTCTCTTATAGTTTTTGTGTCTCATGCTAAAGAAATGAGAGATGCAGAATTCTAAGGCTGAATAGCTAGGAAGTACTCATTCAAACTTGAATATTCTTCAAAGAGAGTGTGGGTCAATTCTAATCAGAGGAAGAAACATAAAGGAAGTCAACCCAGATGTTTTCCACCAGGGCCCTCCTTTTGGCTGGTCTGATTTCCACTGGTAAGTCGAAAGTGCAATTTTAGAATGTTGGTTAATTTTTAAAAACTGATTTCGGGGGACGATTAAAAAGATTACAAAGTCATTAATAGCACAATCACAACATATACATGTATTTGGCTTTTAAAAATGAGATTGAAATGATACAGGGTCCTGAGGATATTCTAAATAATTTACAATGAAATGTCCTGGTTCTTTAATGAGGGAAGCATAATAGTGGGTTGAGAAGACATTGCAAAGGCTTTCAATCTTGGTCTGGGACTTAACTGAAACAAAACTAGATAATAAAAAGTTGACATAAGAACCTGATTCCGGTTTTGATCAAAATCAAATGCCGATACAGATATCGAATACAGAGACTAGTGTGGATTAGGACAAAGGGAATGCTCCCTTAATACTCATAGAAGGAGGAAAAAGTGAATCAATGACTACACTGTCTGATATTTGCCTCAATTCCCAAGGATAAATATTAGTTTCCAAAGTGATGGGATTATGTCTTGAACAAGGTGTTGACTTGGAGCATGGCTACAAGGCATAAAACTTTTGAAACCCACCTTTTAAGACTACTTTAAAGAATAGGCTTAATCACCACATTCTGTAGCTTCTCTTCACAGCATATGTATTAACAAAAAGTAAAATGTCTTTAAATAAAATCAATAGTCAAATAACCAAGCTCTTGCTTTTGCTTGTTTGTTTCAAAGTGCAAGGTTGAGTGTGCTCACTGTATCTCCCTGTGAATGTTAACCCCAGAAATCCAGGACGTTTAATTCAATTGAACATTTATCGAGTGCTTGCTATACTAAAGAGACATATTGTGCCTAAAACAAAGTTTGCACCAAGTCCACTGAGAAAGCAGCCTCTCCTCCATGTTTCATAATTTTTCAGATAATTAGTCCTCCTTTTCCCATCTTCTCTCCTCATCTCAGTCCAGGCTAAACTGGCTTCACATTTCAGATTATTTCTAAGACTCTCCCTCTTCTATGTTTGCAACCATGAAAGAGATTTATCTAGTGCTAAACAAACTTGTCTAGTTCAGAGTTTATTTCTCCTTTCATTCCAACATTGGGTAGGATTCGATTAGTAGAACTAACCATTTCAACATTATTTTAGAACTTCTAAAATTATTTTCTGAGCCATGCTGTTTTATTATTTTGCTTAATCTAACCATAGTGATCCCCATGCCAGTAATGAGCAAAGAAAAATAGAAAAGCACAACTTATACCACTTACTAATGGTTCTGAAGCAAAGTATATCGATGAAGGCTAATGCTAATAAAGAAATGCATTCACTGATATGCTAGCATCACAAAGCAGAATTCTGTAGCCAGGGAATAACCAATTTTACATCTGAATTAGGATATTAAAATTTTGGAAGGACAACCTTCCATAAGCTACAGAAAGTTCAGGGAAAGTTACAGTGAAAATAGAATTGTCAGGATCCACTACATGACTAATATGGCAAATGGAGATTGGAAACGTCTGAGGCCACGAGCTCTGCTCTCACATTTCTCCTTTATAGCACCAGCCGGGCCATGGGCTAATATATGTGTTGGCAAGTCTTCCAACGAGATCCGGACATGTGATCACCATGGTTGTGGACAGTACTCTGCTCAAAGGTATGGATTTGCACAAACAACCATCCAACCCTTTGGTCCCTAACCTCTTTTTTTTTTTTACTTTTTGTTTTTTTTTTTTAGACAGAGCCTCACTCTTACCCAGTCAGTCACCCAGGATGGAATGCAATGGCGCCATCTGAGCTCACCATAACCTCCTGGTTTCAAGTGATTCTCCTGCCTCAGCCTCCTGAGTAGCTGAGATTACAGGTGCTTGCCACCACACATGGCTAATTTTTATATTTTAAGTATACATGAGAGTTTCACCATGTTGGTCAGGCTGGACTCAAACTCCTGACTTCGTGATCTGCCAATCTCAGCCTCCCAAAGTGCTGGGATTACAGGCATGAGCCGCCGCGCCTGGCCCCAACCTCTTTTCTTAGTGTCCTTGTCCAATGTTGGCTGCCTCAAGGGCTCACAATTCTGACAGTATGAAAAACCAGAGATGTAACCAGTTACTCCACTGTCTTTGGAGCAGCTTCCAAGAACTCGGCTTCAAGTATGGGCTGTGAATTGGGATCCAAACATGGAAGAAGGAAAAGAGCAGGGAGCAAACACACTGTTTTCCTTCTGAATGTCTTCACACATGGACTTATCTTACCTGCTTTTTCCAAAGGGGAATCAAATATGACTATACCATTTTAGAGATGAGGAACTTGAACTGAGGTGCCAAAAGGTTAAGGGACCTGCCAAGCACAGTTGGAGATGGTGAAGTCTGGACCTGAACTCAGGTTTTTGGTTCCTCTTCCCATGAAACCACGGTGTTAATGGCCCAGGCTTTGGAGGTTGAATATTAGAGGCTGACCCTAAGCAGGCGAAAGAGCACCTTTATCTCTTCGAGACAACGGGGGTCACACTTGTGAATTTTCAGTTATACCCATCATCACCTTGGGGTGCCACTGTGATGAAATAGCCATGTGTCCATTCATTTCAACCATCTCCATCCTAACTAGAGGGGAGCTCCCACATATACAGATACTACTTACAAAGGAACCTCAAATACTGAAACAGGACTAAGAGAAGGGAAATATGGGAAAACAGCCCCTTAATAGCCAAAATTTACACTCAGCTCATACTGTAAAGTGTACGCACTTAACAGATACAGTAACTTCTTGGCTCTTGGCTTGAGCCTGCTCAGTGTTGCTTTGCACATAATTGTAGCAATCCTGGTGGAGCTGGTTGTTCAGGTGGCAGCCTATTAGAAGGGAGGAGAGGCTGGTGAGAGCAGGCATAGTGACAGCAGTGTGAAGAAAGAGCTGAGGGGTTGCTAAGACAAACTCAAGACACATCACAATCTGGAGTTGTTTGGTTTGAGCTCTATGCAATTTAATAAACCCAGGAGGTATCACTCGTTGTATTAAAATATCATATGTATTGCTGTTTACAATCACTTTTCTAGATCACTGAGAGAACAATAAAACTAGGGCAACATGTGATACTTTTATAATAGGTTCCCATAAAAAGACAGCTGTTTTCAAAGTGGGCTTGAAGAAGTCTCAAGACCCAGGTATCTAGAAAATGCACTTACATGGACTGCCTCATTCCCCCCAAATGCCATACAGTAATAGTAAGTAATATATTTGTTTAAGGCTTACTATGTACCAAGTACCATTTTAAATGCTTTCATCTTTACAACATGGTTATTAGCACCTGCAGGGAGGGAGGTTAAAATTGGGCTAAACAGATGAGAAACACTGGGACATCCCAACAAGTTCTGGCAGCTTCAAGCTTTGGTACCTGGTCTGGGATCAGTGGGCTAACACCATGTTCCTGGGCCATAAAGCTCCCCAGGGCCGCTCCTTGGTCTGTTCATTCTTATTTACATCCTAGAAGTCAGAGGCCTCACCAGGGTGTGGATGTCTTGTGCTCTGCTGGATCTACTGTGTTTGCACCATTCACTGGAAAGATTATGGACCAGGAGAAACCTTATCAAAACAAAAATGCTATCAATAATGCTGTTCGAATACCTGGAAGAGGTAAGAGAGGTGGAGTCTACACCTAGGGTGCCTACTGGAGATGTTGATGCTTATTTGTTTAATGCAGTTCCCATACATAGAGGTTTTCTTCTTCTTTCAAAATGATAAAACCTAGAACAGAAAGGATATAGAGTATACCAAACTAGCTGATGCATTTTTAAAAAACTTTTTAGGTTCAGGGCTACATGTGCCCATTTGTTATACAGGTAAACTGCATGTCACAGGGGTCTGGTGTACAGATTATTTTGCCATTCCGGTAATAAGCATAGTAGCCGATAGATACTTTTTTATGATCCTCTCCTGCTGATGCACTTTCGAGGACTTTTCACCACTTTCCCTGAAAACTTCTGCTTCATGCATACACTTCATGAAACCCTACAGCTAATTGGAGTTATTCCTTCCTGTGGCCCTTGTGGTTTTGCTTCACGATCTATAAACAAAGCCACTTTCAGCAATGCTAACCATAATGGATAGATACTTCCACTTACTCGAATCCCACAAATTATAAATGCTGGCATTTCTGCAAGAGTTGAATGTGAAACATTTTTGAAAGCTTCTAAATTTTAGGTAAAGCTAGGTCTCCTTGTACTCCAGATATTGGCTTTGTTGTTTGATTGTTTTAATTGCATCAAGGTATAAAATATACCCATAAAAGTGCACAACACATCCATGTACAACTCCATGAACTGCATAAAGTCAATACATCTGTGTAACCGGCGCCCAGACCATGAAAAAGAACATCACCAACATCCCAGAGATCACTTGTGCTAACGTTTAGACATGTTCCCAGCAAGGTAATCACTATCCCAAGTTCTAACACCATGCATTAGTTCCTCCTGTTTCTAAAAATGGTATAAATAGAATTAAACAGCACGCCTTCTTTTTGTGTGGCTTCTTACATTCCACATCATGATTGTGTAATTTATGTGTTTATATCTACATTCTTTGGGATACATGATATTCCATTATATGCATATATTTTCATCTATGTATCCATTCTTCCTTAGATGGACCTTTGGGTAGTTTCCAGTTTTAGGTGATTATAAAATTGCTGCTATGAACCTTCTTATACCTTTTAATGAACATATATATGCACTCCTATTGGGAGTGAGTCTAAAGGAGCCCTGCCTCACCAAGGCTGTGGGAGGTATCTTGTGAGGGAACCCGCATCCTTGAGGAGCTATACAGTGGTTGTCCTCTGCGGGCCCAATGTCACAAGAGAAACTTCTGCCACGGAACTGGGTCCTCTGGAGTGGCACTTAACAGTCAATGCCAAGGTCACCAAGAGCAGAAAGTAATCAGATTCATCTAAACCTCAGAGATTTGTGACATTGGCTAGTAATCACTGCAACCCTAGAATGGAATAGATGAGCAGACAACTAAAGCCTTATTGGACTTGTATGAATGGAAATGCTCTAGGTCTGTTGAACAAAATGCTGACTTCAGTCATCACAATAAGGGGTTGCAATCCCCAATAAATTCCCAGGCTTGAGTCGGTTCACAGTCCCAGAGCCTCTTGAATGAAAAGGAGGCTCAGTCCTTTTGAGTAAGGGTCCTGCCATGCAGCCAAAAATTTATAATGTAAACCTTACTTCTAGCTATCCCCAAAGGGACCTGTAATGTTTTAGCAGGATGACAGCACATTGGGGAAGAAATTATTAGGCTCTTCAGAGATTATTGGACACTTGCTCAAAACTGACACTAACTCCTGGAGATCTAAAAGCCCACTGTAGTTGACCAGACTACGGACTTATAGTCAGGGGGTCAATGTAGATTTTCAGCAGGGTCCAGCTTATACTAAGCCCAGTGCATCCTCAAATCTACCAAGAGGTTATTTTCCTAGTTCCAGAATGCAAAATTGGAATAGACTTTCTTCTTCTTTCAGGTTGCCTTGCAATTCTTGGTCATTGGCATTTCCAAATAAATTACAGAATCTGTTTGCTAATTTCCACCAAAAATCCTGACAGGGCTTTGACTGACTCTGCAGTAAATATACAGATCAAATTGATAACAGATATTTTTAAAGTAGTGAGTCCTCCAATGAATGAACATATTATATCCTCCATTTACTTAGGTCTTCCTTCACTGTTCTATTAATGGTTGTTGTAGTTGTCCGTGTAGAAGTCTTGCACATCTTTTGATTAAAATATATTCATAAAACCTACCTGATGGAGTTTTAGATCTTCTACAGTGGAGCCATCCAATAGAAATATAATACAACTCATATGTATAATTTTAAATTTTCTGGTGGCCATAATAAAGAAGTAAAAAGAAACATGATATTTTAATATTTTATTTAACTCAGGTTTTCAAATATTATATCAATATATAATTATTGAGATCTTTTACATTTTTAAATACTAAGCCTTCAAAATCCATTGTATACTTTACCATTAAAGCACATCTCAATTCAGATAAACTACCTTTCAAGTGCTGAATAACCACATATGGCTAGTGGCACCACATTGGACAGCATAATTCTACAGTCTTATTATTATGCCCACTTGACTGGTGAGCAGTGCCGGTAGTGTATTAAAGTCTCCTACTATTGGTGAGTTTCTATCTGTGTCTCCTGGCATCTTGTGGTCTCTGCTTTATATAGATGACTTGTGTTATTTACCGTATGGATAGTTGTAACTGCTATATCTTCATTGTGGCTTGTGGCATTTGCCCTCTGACATTATCTTCCTTTGTCTTGTTTCACTGTCTTTTGGCCTGAAGTCTAGTCTCTGGTAACAGGACGATAGCCCTTGCATTATTATTGCTTGGCAAATCTTTGTCCATTTGCTTGGCACATCTTTGTCCAGCTCTTCACTTTCATCATTTTCAATCGCCGTGTTTTATTCCATACAACATAAAACTGGGGTTTGCTTTTTAACCCAACAGGACATTTTTAATATATGAGATAAGCCCATTCACATGACTCATATATTTGTACCCAATACCATCATTTTCTTTTATAATTATTATATCATACACTGTTTCTCTACTTAGGTCTTTGCCTTTTTAGTTCTTTTGATATTTAGCAAGGTTTGTATTTTTGTTCCTGTTATTTCCATTTATCTTTATTTTTAAAGTCCAATCATTTATTAGAATACGTCTTGGAGGTAACATTGTTCAGGGTTCACTTTTTTTTAACTTTTTTTTGAGACAGAGTCTCAGTCTGTCACCCAGGCTGGAGTGCTATGGCGTGACCTTGGCTCACTGCAACCTCCACCTCCCGGGTTCAAGCTATTCTCCTGCCTCAGCCTCCTGAGCAGCTGGGATTACAGGTGCCAGCCACCATGCCCAGCTAATTTTTTTGTACTTTTAGTAAAGACAGCATTTCTCCATTCTCGAACTCCTAACCTCATATGATCCGCCTGCCTTCGCCACCCAAAAGTGCTGGGGTTGCGGGCATGAGCCACTGTGCCTGGCCTTAAGGGATCATTCACCTTTTCTAACTAGCTAGTATTTTCCACTATTATTCTTCAATGTATTTATTAATGTTTCCTTTGAATCGATTCTTTTGGCATCTTGTAATTTAGTCTTCCTTTGTAATATCATTCTGTCATTTTCATATATTCCTCTCCTGAGTTCATTCAACTTTATTTCTTTTTTTCTTTTTTGTACATTTGTTATTTTTGAATTTCATATCCAAGGTTACTGAAGCCCAGATAAATAATTACACTTATTTTCTTTTAGGTTTTTGTGTCAAAATGTTCTACATTAAGCCAATTAAGTATAAAGATCCTATTAAGAGGGGACAGAAACTTGGAACTCTATCGTCCTTGCAGAAAGTTTCTCCTGGCATACAATCACATGTGCACATTCAAAACTGTGACTTGAGTGATCCTACTGCATACCTGTAAATGGAAGGCAAATGGTTAGATCTTCAGAATAAAAAATCATCTTCTTAAAAACCTGAATGCATACCCTGCTCTTCAAGAAATTGGTGTTCACAAAGGATTAAAGCTTGAAGGGATGGATACTCCATTTTCCATGATGTGATTAGTATATTTTGCAGGCCTGTATCAAAACATCTCATGTACCTCATAAATGTATATACCTATGTACCCACACAATTTTTTAATTAAAAAAATTTGAGTTTAAATAGAAACATGATAAATGCAAGGAAGAAAACATTTTAACTCATTGTCACTCTGATGTTCCAGTGAACTGCTTTCTTCAAGCTCTTTTTGTCACCTATAGAATATGGGTGGTTTTGTTGTTTAGATTTCTCAGTCCCAAAGATCTAAGATAAATAAACAAGGAAACTTAAGCTGGGCCAGGCTGCATTTTTGACACCTTTAAAAATAGCGACCTTTCTGCTTGAAAATAAAAAGCCTGTGGTACAAGAACAGCAAGTGGTTTACAATGCTAGATTTAGCATACATTTAATACATACCCAATGAATAAGTTGAGTGTAGGTAGTGGACTCTCAGCAATATCCTTTGGTTTATCATATTGGATGGAGGGGGAGCTGCTTTCATGGATAATACAGGATTTGCTGGTATTTCCAGCCACACTCGCCTACATGGTTACAAATGATGGCAGTCCGAGAAAACATTCCAGATTTCAATGAGGCTGCACTACAAGAAGGACTAGAATGAGAACGAGGCCTACCTTTATCTGAAGTGTCTCATGGAGCCGGGCCTGCCAACTTCATTTAGCCATATACATATTACAGCTACTTATTTCTATACATTTTTGTATTATATCTGTGTTATTCTGTCTTAGTTATATTGACAACAGGTACTAAGAGGAAACAAGACCATACAAATGTCCAAGGGACCAGAAATAATTCTGGCTCCTTAGAGTTGAGCCAGTCAGTAAGAAATAAGTTGAACTAATCCTTCCGGAAACTTTCCTCATTAATTTCTGCTTAACTTTGTTTGGAATGCAGAAAATGACAGCAGAATGTTTACATTCTTATGCGTAGATTGTTAAACATAATTAACCAAAGTGTGTTATTAGAGAAATGGTTGCATTTGTGCATCAGGACATATGTATAAGAATGTTCATGATATCACTATTTTTCAGAGAAAATCTTCAACGACCTAAAAGCCCACCAACAGTGAAATCAATAAATAATGTCAAAGTTATAGAATGTAATAGTCGACAGCAGTCATGATAAATGAACTCCAGTCCAGTTAAACATAACAACCTGAATGAATCATAGCAATATAATTTTAAGTTTAAAAAGTCCAAAAGATCATATAACACGATATTCTTTTTATAACGTTAAAACAGTTAAAATTAAAATACAACACAATACTTTCAGTCTTTTCAATCTCTGTGTTTTATCATACAGCATAAAATTGGGGTTTGCTTTTCAACCCAATAAGACATTTTTTAATAGACGAGCCCATTCACATTAATACAAATGGCTCATATATTTGTACCCAATAACTTTCCCTTTTTACATAATAAAATTATATAAAAATTTTATAATATATAAATTTTATACTATAAAATAAAAAGGGAAGCAAGAAAATAATGAACCCTAGTTAAAGCATGACTAGCTAGGGAGGGCCACATAAAAAGATTTAAGTTACTATCAACGCTGTAGTTTTGCAGTTAGGAAATAATTGCATGGGTATTTATCATTATGAATAACATATCACAGAAACAACAGGGCTTGCATGTGGGTTGCCAGGAAGAGAGTTAATGATGACTCTCAGATAGTTGAGAATCTATGTCACACAATCCGCGCCTTCGTATATCTATTAGGTTGGTGCAAAGGTAATCGCGGTTTTTGCCGTTACTTTCAGTGGCAAAGTATATCTAGCACTGCCTGATTTGAATAGGCATCTCCTTGGTACCAAGTAACTTTAGGTTGTTTCCAGACATTTGCTTGCAAAAAATAAATGCTGTGCTCCATTAAGGACACCCAAAAAGGAAATAGCACATCAGCTCTTCAAGGCAATTTTCAAAGAAGCTCTAAAATATTTGCATAATAAAACCTATGCTTAGTTTTAAAGATAATCATCCTTCTAATTATTAGGAGGAACAATATAGGTGGATATGGATATTGCTTTAAAAACTAGACTCATGACCTGGAATGGAGAAATTCTCAAGGTAGAGCAGGAACGCTTCCTTCCCTGGGCATTCTCACATCTGCTCAATGGCAATGCAAACTTGGGGCCAGAGAACTTCTTTCTCAGGAAGAACTGCAATACAGCGCCCTCTAGTGCAACAAATCCGTGTGGGTTTTTTCTTCTTTGTCTTACAGGTTTAGATGTCAACCGTTTGGCTTAAGTATAAAAATATTACAGCCTGCGCCGACTCCGCACCACCCACTGTGATGGAGGCCGCAGCCCAGGTCTTCGTGGAGAGCCCTGACGTGGTGTACGGCCCGAGGCTATCGAGGTGCAATACGAGTACAGGACGACGCGTCAGCCGCGAGGGCGTCCTCAAGGTGCACCTACGACCACGCGCTTCACCTTCCGGACCCCCCACCCGTGCCCCGGCTCCGGGTCATACTTGTCGGCTGGGGCAGGAACAACGGCTGCACGCTGACCGTCGCGGTGCTAGCCAACCCACCGCATCTGTCCTGGCCCACGCGCAGTTGCCGCAAGGAGGCCAACTACTACGGCTCGCTGACTCAGGCGGGCACCTTGAGCCTGGGCTCGGACACCGAGGGCCAGGAGGTGTTCGTGCCCTTCAGTGCGCTGCTGCCCATGGCGGCGCCCAACCACCTCGTGTTTGATGGCTGGGGCATCTCCTCACTGAACCTCGCCCAGGCGATGCTGCGCGCTAAGGTGCTGGAATGGGAGCTGCAGGAGCAAGTGTGGCCACACATGGAAGCCCTGCCGCGTCAGCCTTCCATCGACATCCCAGAGTTCATCGCGGACAACCTCGTCCCGGACTCACGCCCGCAGCAGCTGGAGCAGATCCGTAGGGACATCCCAGACTTCCGGTCTAGCTCGGGGCTGGACAAAGTCACCGTGCTGTGGACGGGCAACACAGAGCGCTTCTGTGAGGTGGTTCCGGGCCTCAAGGACACGGCCCAGAACCCGCTGCGCACCACTGGGCTCGGCCTGCAGGTGTCTCCCTCCACGCTCTTCGCCGTCGCCGGCATCCGGGAGGGCTGTGCCTTCCTCAGTGGGTCCCCGCAGAACACCCTGGTGCCCGGAGCGCTTGAGCTCGCGTGTCAGCGCCAGGTTTTCGTGGGCGGAGATGACTTCAAGTCTGGCCAGACCAAAGTCAAGTCCGTGCTCGTGGACTTCCTCATCAGCTGTGGCCTCAAGACCATGTCCATCGTGAGTTACAAGCACCTGGGCAACAACGACGGGCACAACCTGTCCGCGCCATTGCAGTTCCGCTCTAAGGAGGTGTCCAAGAGCAACGTGGTGGACGACATGGTGCGGAGCAACCCAGTGCTCTGTAGGCCCGGCGAGGAGCCCGACCACTGCGTGGTCATCAAGTACCTGGGTACCTGGGTGACAGCAAGCGCACTGGGTGATTAAACCTCGGAGCTAACGCTGGGCGGGACCAACACACTGGTGTGCAAGACACGTGCCAAGACTCGCTGCTGGCCGCACCCATCACACTAGACCGGGCGCTGCTGACCAAGCTGTGCCAGCCCGTGAGCTTCTGCGCTGACGCTGACCCCGAGCCACAGACCTTCCACCCCGTGCTGTCCCTGCTCAGCTTCCTATTGAAGGCGCTGCTGGTGCCTCCGTGCAGCCCGCTGATCAGTGCGCTTTTCCGCCAGCACAGCTGCATCAAGAACATCCTCAGGGCCTGCGTGGGGCTCCCGCCACAGAACCACATGCTCCTGGAGCATAAGATGGAGCGCCCAGGGCCCGGCCTCAAGCAACTCGGACGCGTGGCTGCCGCCTGCCCTGTGTCCAACAAGAAAGGACTGGAACCTGCTTCCACCAAAGACTGCACTGATGATGCCAATGGGCACCCACAAGTGGAGGAAGCCCAGATGCCCACCACCTGAGGCCCCTGTCACACAGCTTCCCAGCCCTTCCTCTCTGCTGGCGCCCCAGGAACCCACCATTCCAGGCCACCCCAAAGACAATAAAGCCGCTGCCACTCTCAAAAAAAAAAAAAAAAAATTACAAAGGTTTGAATGACAGAGGAGTAAGAGTAGGAAGAAACTTACATTTCGTTAGTAACCATGATGATAATACATACATTAAAAATTGTGGTATCAGATATTCTGTCATGTTTGATAGCTACACATTAATAATGTGAATAAAATCAATATTTATCTTGAAAAATGTTTTGAATTATCTGCAAGAGATAAATTTAACAAAAGAAAAAGGAGAGAAGTGGCCAATTTAAGAGGCCAGGTGACAAAGGGAACAATCCTTGCATCCATTTGACATTTATCACACTCTGTGGCATATTTCAGCAATCACACACCTGTTCCCTCTGTGCTATGTTATTCATAATAACAAGTACCCATAGAAAGTCGGCTCGCCTCCTGACTAACCTCTCCCATGTTCTGTACAATACTAATGAGGCCAGCAAGGATCACAAGGAAGGAAAAACAAAAAAAATAGGAGCATCCTATTTTTGTGTATCTTCAGTACAACCTACAATAAGACCTTTCCCCCATTCTCTCCATTTACCAAATTTTTGCCCACAAAATTATACAGATTTCTCCAGAATCCTCTAACAAATGCAAATGTTTTTAACATGAAAAAGTTTGCTTACAGAACTCAAATATTCTTCAAAGACTAAAGTTTGAAATCCATCTAATGTCAAACTCCTTTATCTAGAATCCACTAGATTTAAGTAAACAGCACTTTTAATATACTTCCAAAGTAAATAGAGACATTTTGATTAGACGAAACATTACAGTTACTCTGTAAGTTCTTACCTTGTTTTGGCCTGTCATCGTCCTCTATTATGTTTTATGCTTCCATTTACTTACACAGTAAGTCAGGCCTACCAGAGAAAAGTACATGAGTTCAGGAACTTGGAGTACTCTGAGTTTTGCTCTAAGATTCATTATAGTGCTCAGTTCACTAGGTTCAGCTACTGGGCCACTAAAAAGCATGATTTTGAGCAGCAACTTCTCATTCTACGTAGAAGAGGCTAATGGTACTAATCATCTCTCCATGCTAGTCGGCTATGGGGAGAAACTCACCCCCAACCTCCCTTCTCTAGCCTCTCTCTGTTTTGCTCCATTATCCTCAGTGCAAATTCCACTGGCATTCTATCACCTGACCATTCCGGTATGTAGACTCCCAACCCCTCCTAGAACATGTCATGATAGAGTGATCCCAAGTGAGACCAGAGGCTTCTCCCTTCAGAATGCCCACCACTGCTCTGATCCCGAACTCCGGCTCTCTTAAGCTATTTCTTTTCTTTGTTCTTGTATCTTAATCAGATTTTTTTTTTCTTTTGTGCTGGAGTCTCATTCTGTTGCCCAGGCTGGAGTGCAATGGCACGATCTGGGCTCACTGCAACCTCTGCTTCCCAGGTTCAAGCTACTCTCCTGCCTCAACCTCCTCAGTAGCTAAGGCTACAGGCATCTGCCACCACGCCTGACTAATTTTGTGTATTTTTAGTAGAGATGGGGTTTCACCATACTGGCCAAGCTGATCTCGAACTCCTGACCTTGTCATCCATCCACCTTGGCCTCCCAAAGTGCTGAGATTACAGGCGTGTAATCTCACCACACCCAGCACCTAATCAGCTTTTAAGTCCCTATTACATGATGATTTTGTATCCTCCTGAAATCTTAAAGTATAAATTATATGATCTGTAATTGTTATACCATCCAGTCCTCACAAAACTGTATTATTTTTAAACAGTAAAATCAGCTCCTAGCATTTATGGAGTAGCTACTAATGCAGGAATACTATTCTGAGAGGGAGGAACACATAGGGAGACATGAGAAGCCTTAAAGCTTACAGTGAGAAATAACATGGCACACTGGTGAGAATGTACACACAAATATAATCTCTCTAAATACAGGGATATAAAACTGCGTTTTTTTAAACTGCCATTTACACATCACATTGTATTCTAATTGCTTCATAGGTAAAAATACTTAAATGTTTTTCCTAATAACCCAAACTGGAAAGTGATGAACATATTTAATTCTCTCTCTTTTCATTTTACTTCATTTCTTAGACAATTCAGATACTGTGGGGGAACTTAGGGGAACACGCTTGAAAACCAAAGTACTTAAGTAAAATTTATTGAGTGCTCACTATGTGCTAACTACTAGTATGGCAGATTCGGGGAATAAAACAGTGAGGAAAAACCAGCAGTGATCTTGCACTGATGGAGTTTACAGTGCAATGGAATGAACCGGTAATAATCAGACCAGTCAATGATGAATTATCGCAGGAATAAGTACTGCACAGAAGAGCCAGGGTGCTGAGTGCACAGCACAGAGGGCACAACATGGACCTGACCTGTGAGCAGGGAATGGACCGGGCATCCAGGAGGGCTTCCATGATCAAGGACACACAGCTAGAGGAAAAACCTGAGGAGCACAGAGAGTAAGCCAGCCAGAGAGAGGTGGGGGCAAATTCCTTGTGACTAGAGGGTGCAGGACAGTTCCAAGGAACTGAGAGGAAGTGGGAACCAAAGGGCAAGGGACAGCTTGATGGGAAATGAGGCAAAAGAAGTAGGGAGGGACCAGACCTTGCAGGACCTTTTGGATTAAGGATACATCTTCACCCTCAAGACAACAAGCAGCCACAAAGGAGTTCTGCATCTGTTGCTAATTACATTATAAGACCACTTATGCAGAGCATCTGGCAGAGTCCCAGATCCATAGCAGTAGGCAGCGAATGCTGATTCCCTCCCAAAAGTATCCTGCAACATTTACTGCTTTGTCCAAATAGTCTACCAATTAACAATCAAAATGAGTATCTCTTGTATTTTCACCTCAGTATCGTTGTGAAATGAATTAGTATGTATGAGTCTTAATGGAATGTCCACTATCTCTCAATAGACAAATACAATCAGCCTTTGATATCCAAAGGTTCTACCTCTGAAACCAAATGCAGATCAAAATGCAGAATTCAACAGACGTGAAACCTGTGGATAGAGGGCTGTTTTGTATATATGGGTTCCAAAGAGCCAACTGCAGGACTTGAGTCTGTGCAACATTTGATATCTGTGGGGGGTCTCAGAACCAATTCCCCATAGATACCAACACGCAACTAGATATACAAAAAGCAGTTGTAATTTTATTACCTAGAAATAAACACTCTGGAAATGGGATTAGGAAAACAATTTCATTTATAACAGCATCATAAAAAACAAAATAATGGTAGTAACTCCAAGAAATGAAGCACAAGATATATTCTGAAAACAATAAGAGTATTGGAAGAAATTTAAGAGAACCTAAACAAATGGAAGTACACCACATGTTCTTTAATATGGGAAGAACATAGTATTATCAAGATGGCAACACTTAAAATTTACTGATAACCTTAATATAACCAAGATGTTAGTATTCCTTAAGTTAATCTACAGATTCAATTTTCTATCACAATTCAAGTTGCTTTTGTTTCCAGAAACCAACAAGCTGACTCTAAAATTCATATGGAAATAGAAAGGATTCAGAATAATCAAAGCCATTTTGTAAAAAGAAGAGCAAAGTACAGTACTCCCATTTCTAGATTTCAAATTTTACTACAAACCAACAGTAATGAAGACTCTATGTACCAGCATGGAATAGACATATAGGTCAATGGACCAGAACTGACAATCCAGATATAAATTGATTTTTGAAAAGGGTGCCAAGATAATTTAATGGGAGAAAGAGTCTCTTTTATTTTTTTAACCAACAGAATTTTATTTCATTAAGCATGAAGTTACATTCACATTTGTCTACAAACACAGTCAGTAAGAAAACAAATACTATCAGCTTTCTTGCTGTAGTACTGGATGTTCAGTGGCAGGCTCACTTAAAGGCAGAGTCAACCCTGATGGGGACTCGAGTTCAGTCACAACTACTTGGGAGGAGAACACAAAGACTACCAGCTTTCTTGTGGTGCAGGATGTTCAGTGCTAGGCTCACTTCAAGGTGGAGTCAACCCTGACGGGGACTCAAGATCAGTCACAAATAGTTAGGGGGAGAACACAAAGACCACCAGCTTTCTTGCTGTGGTGCCGAAAGTTCAGTGGCAGGGGAACTTAAAGGCAGAGTCAACCCTGACAGATACAAGAGATCAGTCACAACTGCTTGGGAGGAGAACACAAAGAACACCAGCTCTACTGCTGTGGTGCCAGGTGTTCAGTGGCAGGCTTACTTGAAGGCGGAGTCAACCCTGAAGGGGACATGACATCAGTCACAACTACTTGGGGGGAGAACACAAAGACTGCCAGCTTTCTTGTTGTGTGCCAGATGTTCAGTGGCAGGCTCACTCAAGGTGGAATCCACCCTGACGGGGACTCCAGAATAGTCACAACTACTTGCGAGACACAAAGACCACCAGCTTTATTGCTGTGATGCCGGGTGTTCAGTGGCAGTCTCACCGAAGGTGGAATCAACCCCAACGGGGACTCAAGATCAGTCACAACTACTTGGAGGGGAATGCAAAGACCACCAGCTTTCTTGCTGTGGTGCCAGGTGTTCAGTGGCAGGCTCACTTGAAGGCAGAGTCATCCCTAACGGGGACTTGAGATCAGTCACAAATACTTGGGAGGAGAATATAAAGACTACCAGCTTTCTTGCTGTGGAGTCCGACGTTCACTGAGTGGGAGGCTCACTTGAAGGCATAGTGAACCATGACGCATACTCAAGATCTGTGCAAAGTACTTGGGAGGAGAACACAGAGACCACCAGATTTCTTGCTGTGGTGTCGGATGTTCAGTGGTAGGCTTACGTGAAGGCAGAATCGACCATGACGGGGACTTGAGATAAGTCACAACTACTTGGTAGGAGAACACAAAGACCACCAGTTTCTTGATGTGGTGCGGGATGCTTGATGGCAAGCTCACATGAAGGCAGAATCAACCCTGACGGGGACTCAAGATTAGTCACAACTACTTGGGAGGAGAACACAAAGACCACAAGCTTTCTTCCTGTGGTGCCAGTTGTTCTGTGGCAGGCTCACTTGAAGGCAGAGTCAACCCTGATGGGGACTCAAGATCAGTCACAACTACTTCGGAGGAGGACACAAAGACTGCCAGCTTTATGGCTGTGGTGCCGGATGTTCAGTCGCAGGCTCACTGAAGGCAGAATCAACCCTGACGGGGACTCGAGATCAGTCACAACTACTTGGGAGGAGAACACAAAGACCACCAGTTTCTTGTTGTGGTGCTGGATGTTCTGCGGTAGGCTCAGATGAAGGCAGAATCAACCCTGACGGGGACTCAAGATTAGTCACAACTACTTGGGAGGAAAACACAAAGACCACAAGCTTTCTTGCTGTGGTGCCAGGTGTTCAGTGGCAGGCTCACTTGAAGATGTAATCAACCCTCATGGGGACTCCAGATCAGTCACAACTACTTGGAGGGGAATGCAAAGACCACCAGTTTTCTTCCTGTGGTGCCAGTTGTTCAGTGGCAG